CATCTTTACTTTATTACGATGATGATGATTCTGATCATCTATGGATATTACTTCGATCAACAAGTAATATATTACAAGTATGGAATCAATCAGAATGTAAATTACATGGAACAATATGTTTAAATAAATTATTTGAAAAAATTGGTAAAACCGATGAACAATTAGCAATTATGGAAGAACATGCTCAATTAGATTCAACTGAAGATGGTAGTTCAAGTAATATTATGGATCAAATTCGTATTACTTCATTTCTAATACATGATGAACAATTATGGATTGGTACATCAACCGGTATTATATTTGTATTAAATTTTTCATTTCAACAAAAATCTATACGATCACCTTCAGTGTACTCAAAAAAAATAAAACCTACTCGAAGATCATTAAGTGTAACAAGTCATATGATTAATGACGCAACTCAACATTATGTATCAGTTTTACCAAATTTTGTCAATAATCGAAAAAAATTTCGTTCAAGATCTGATCCAGCTATGATAGATTTATTTAATTTATCAGATGATGGTTGGAATATGAATTATTCATCAAATCTTCATCTTTATCGTATTGCTTTTCCAATGAAAACAAAAGATCGTTCAATAAATTTATTTCGACATCGAAAACGTCATAATTCAACAGCAACTTATCCTATAATTGAAAATGAGAAAAAAAATCGAAATATTGATTCTGATGACTCAAGTACAACATTAACATCAGTAAAAACACAATCATCAAGTCCAGCTGTTATATCATCAGATGAATGGTGTCATAAACATCAACAAATAAAATTTCCAAGTACAACAATTAAACAACCACAAAAATCTTTAGAAGCATCAGCAACACTTTCGTTTAATCTTCTATTTAAAGCAAAAATATCTGATGCACCTGTTAAATGCATTTGTAAAACAAAGTATAAAAAAAAAAAACAAATTTAAAAGAAATATTTGTTTATATTTAATTTATTTATCTAAATAGATGCCATGATCAATTCGTAATATTGACATGTTCAGGTAAACTTGGTGATGATGAAGTTGTTTGTCGATGGAAACAAGTTCCAGATACAGTAAAAATAAATATAAGATTATCTTTTTTTATTATTAAAAATTTATATGTTCTAGAATCAATGGACAAATGATGTCATTGTTGAATTAAGTCCTGAAACAATGTTACCTATTCGACCTCTCTATGCTCGTCAACAATATTTAAAAGATCATCGAGATCGGTCTGTTAGCATTTCGTCGAGTACTTCTCAGCTTTAAGCAATTGTTTTTTTATTTGTTCTTCGCTAAGACTTTATATATTTGTAGCTAAACAAAATACTATTTTTGTCTATTCATTGATAAAAATAACTGTAGTATCTTACTTATTTTAGAAATGTTTTTTCGGATGAACTTTATTTAACAAAATATATTTTAAAAAAAAAGTATTTAGTGATCAAATATCATCTACGGGTTTTATTTTTGAAAAACATATTATAACATCAATTCATGTCTTCCAGTTTTTTCTTTTTTCTTTTTGTTTTTTTTTTGTCGTTGATGTTATATTTCTTTTGATAAATTAAAAATATCGTCCTACGAAATTGAATCTTATTTTTGATTTATGCTATTAAAATAAATATTTGATGAATTCATATATATTATATTTTTCAAACAAATATTTAGAAAAAATTTCAATAAATTCTACGTATCTGAAGAATAGTATTAAATGTCTATTATAAAGAGCAATATGATCTTTTCAATGACCTAAATTCAAATACATTAATTCAATATAGAAACTTCATAACATGTTCTGATAGAATCATTGTTTAACGAAAACAAGCAACGATCTTCGATTGACTTTGTTGAGTCATAATCTTGTGGCTTACATCACTCGTATCTTTAATGTTTTTCTCAACAGCAAGAACCTTCGTAGTAAATATTAGGTACCTATGAGAAAGCTAGCATCTGTATGAATAAGAGAATTAATATTGTTGAAAATAAAATAATAAATACAAAGATTCTCTTATAGATATTCATCTGTAATCATTAGCAAGATAGGTCATTATGTAGATGAAATATCATCTCTGTTTACTCAGGTTATATGCGAGACGTAACGATTGATATTAATAATACCTACAGTCGACAATTGCGAAGTTAATATACGCCTGTCAATGAAAATATGAGATTCGTATTTTTACCGTTTTATATGACTCAATATTGTAATGTCTTCGTGACCTTATATGTAAAGAAACGAAACAGGAGCTATATACGACGTTTACATATAAAGAAAATAAATGAATGTATTTATTTCTCCATATACTGTCGTAGTTGAAGACCATGTCTATAGGGTATGAGATAGTAAGAGTAAGTTGTGGAATCAGTTTTGAAAGCTTTTATGAGATGACTCTTGTTATAGGATGTGCAAATGGAAATGGTTTCGTTAGATTAAAAAGTATACTAAAATAGTCTTTGATCATCGAAAGACTTGATGATGCAAGTTCATTTGCCAGTGACTATCGAAGCATCAGAGTTGTAACTGTTTCGAACCCGTTGAAATAGTTGGACTGGTTACAAAATATTTTATAGATATGCTATTTATTTCTGATAAAACTTGTTGACAGCTAATTTGTGTGCTTTTATCAAAGTAATCAATCAGTATTACTTTAAAAATTATGTTTTATTTTCTTCTGTTCATCTACACTGTTTATTTCTTTAATCGAAGTATATTTCATCTTTTAAAAATTACATATCGAAACTGTTTTACTCAAGTTAAACTTATCTAATAACTGTTTTGCTGAAGATCAAATTTAACTTTGAATCTTTGTTTGAAGAGTAATGCTAGATCTACCTTTAAAGGCTGAGTGAGTACATCGAAAGTCTTTTTATATATTGATATCTCATCTATTCATCTTTTAGAAATCAAACAGATGCGAATGACTAAAATATAAGATTTCTACCTGGAGAGTTGTAAAAATCAAAACTACAAAAGAAAAATGAATATTTATTGAAGCCATTTCGCTTAATCAATTTATATTGAACAAACAAACCAGCCACTTTTTGCCAATTTTCTCCTCAGGTCTAAAAGACTTTTTGATCCGACCTGATCGAATCAGTTTAAAAATTCTCAACCGATTATAGTCTTGAGATAGCTCTTGTTTTTGTTATCGGAAACCTTATAAAATGTATTATGAATCAGGCTCATTGCAATAGAAGTATGTCAGAAAATACGATCGTAAAATTCTACAGGTATTCAAAGCGAAAGTTTGCCCCAATATCACTTTTATTACCTGAAAGAACTTTGTGGCCTTTCCTGTTTTTACTGGTCTGGCAATATTTTTAAATCGAATCGGCCTAGTATTTCTTGACCAATTACAGTTCTGCCACAAACACGGATCATAAAGGCAATACAACAGCCAAGTTGTACAACAAAATCAAAGCTGTAATAGCGCACCGAAGAGTGCGTATGAATCTACTCTTCACTCACACCAACACTCACATATAAAAAACTATAACTATATAGTGTATGATATATTTTTAGAAAATGTGCACTTATATTGTACTAACATATGTATTAAATTATCATTATGTTAGAATAATGCAAACTTTGATTTAGAAATAGTCAAAGATCGACATTATTTACTAACAAATTCGAATGTCTATTTTTGATTAATTATGATTAGAGTCTAGTAATTTTTTATTTATTATCAACCTATTTAAATGGAACCGGTCAAAATACATGAAATGCAATGAAACTGACATTTTTTCGATCCATTAATATCATTTTTATCTTTTTTTCACGACACTTCTCGCAAAGAAACAGTTCCAAGAGTTAACTCGCTTTTGAGTTGAGACTTAATGCATGTTCCATATAGATTCAAATGAGATATTTTCAGAAACGCGAGAAAAACTAATTTTCGAATTTCGACTTGAAACTTTGCATAGAAACAGATCTTAACGAGAATAGTGTAGTGTCAAAATTTTAAATCAATTTGGTTTTCATGTCATCAGATACAGCTATGATAAAAGTACAACTTTTGACATCGTCCATATATCGAGGCAGATGAAGATTTTCTTATTTCAGAATAGAAGCAATGAAAAAAATTTGAAACTTTCACAATCAACCATTTTCATCAAGAGTTCTTTCCACACAAAGTTTCAAGTGAAAATTTAGTTTTATTTGGCATTTCTGAGACGACCATAGCATCATGCTAAGAAGACACTATATTTCGACTGTGATGAACTAATAATCCAAACTTTTTTTTGAGAATATTCATTCCATAGTACGACTTACATAATATAAATAGTTTTCACTCAATAGTGATCTGACATTGACAAACGTTTGCTCGTCAACTATATTATACTCTTCATTTGACCTTTTCTTCTGCTCATGACATTTAATTTATATTCTGAAGTCAATTTAATATTTTTATGTTTATGATTTATAGAAAAAAAAAAGAGAGAAAAATTTAACAAACAAGAATTAAGAGTATATTCTCCACTTGCACACTAAAAATGTATACATAGACACAAAACATAAATGAAATTTAAATGAGAAGCAAGAACTAACAGATCATCAAATAAAGCATCCACACGATGAATAAGAAAAAGAAAACACATGAAACATACAATCAAAAACAAAATGATCTTTTTGCATAATATGTTACCAAACAAAAAGAACGAATGAAAAATAATTCGTCAATCTGTAATAACTCAAATTTAGTTCATTAAATTGATTTAGGATTGACAAAAAAAAACAAAAACAAAAACAAACACAAATATGAAGAAAACGCGTCGTCTATATATAAACAAGCGACACCGAGTTAAAAAATAAAATAAAACATACACAGAGTCATTCTCTGTGATTAAATATTCTATTTTTTGAAGAGAACATAATTGTCAAGAATTATAAATATATATCACAGTAGAGAAAGAGAAACATATTTAAATTGCACACAATTTTAAAAACCATTCCATAGTGATATGAAGTTCATTTTGCTATTTGAATTCAAAAGCATGTAATTCTTATCACACGGATGTTTCAAGAGGTTGTTCCTCTTTCTCATTTTTTTTTGGACCCTAAAAAAGCAAAAGAATATTTCAATATAGAATATATCAATTAAATATATGTCATATTTACATCATAAATTAAGCGTGGATCTTTATAAGTACCACTCTCGAATAAACGTTTACCAACATCTTGTCCAATTTTATTAGCAGTTGTGATATTTGTAGTTATTTGTGTTTGAGATAAAGGAGTTGATTTTTCACGGCTACAAAAGAAAAGAAAAAGAAAACATGAATATTATTTCAAGAATATATTTATTATTATTATTTAATTATACTTTTGAGAAGAAGAAAGATTTGTTTGGGCTTGAGTAGATACTCCTTTCTTGGGTAAACCTAATACCGTATTTAACATATCATCAAATACAGCAGGATTTTCTAAAATTTGAAAAAAAAAACAGATTTATTTATATGATTAATTATATTATATACCTTGATTAGCACTTGATTGACTTGATCGTCGTGGAGGAGGTTGTTGATGATCATCTGTTCCTCCTCCTGTTGTTCTATTACCGGATAATCGAAGATGTTGTCGACCAAGTTGTCTTTGCGGTGGAGTTTCTTTACTTGTACCTGCTACTATAGAACTTGTTCGACTTTTTATTGATAATGTATCCGGTTGTTGTTGTTGTTGTTGTTGTTGAGTATGATATCCATTTGTTGTTGCACCACTAGACATTCGTCTTTGGTCATTCATATGATTTAATGTTGTTGTTCTTGTGGTTGTTGTTGATGATGACGATAAATTTTTATTACTTATATCACGTAAACGTGATTCAAGATAACGCATAAATACATGGATATCTTCAGGAGATTTCGATGCATCAAATTGAATTACACGTAAGCGTATATCGTCAAGTGCTGTATGAATACGAATATCATTTGATGCTTGAAGACGTGCAAGTAACAATTGAATTTCTCGATTACTATGTGTATTTATATAATTATAAAGAAGATCATCATTATCAATATGAGGTGTATTATAACATATTTCAGAATTTTCACTAACTTGTCCTGTATACCATTTCATGGACTACAAGAAATAAGAAAAATATTAATTATAGAATAATAAATATACTGTTTCTGAATGATTCATTAATTCTTCTATGACAATACTGTTTAGGAATTGTTATCTAGGAGTATAACGAGAACTATAGTCATCGGTCTTAAATAGAAAGCTGTACTAGTCTAGACATGTATGTATAGAATAAAAGTGAAGACGATGATCATCATAGATTCATTTCGACTTTTTCGATAGAAGAAGGTCGATTTCAAGAAAATAGCTGAAGCTTTCAAAACATGAAAATTACACTTTTTTCGAATAAGAAAATTGAAATCCAGCTTTTCAACTAACTTTCTATAGATTCAGATTCTTGGACCCAAAAATCATTAGTTTATTTTATTATAAAATTCAACTATTTTTTTTTTGAAATAGCCTTTCTAATTAAAAAAAATGAAATCAATCTAAGACTATCATAGTTTTATTATGTGTTCACGGTTAGTCTATAGATACTTGAATTACTTTTAATGTGACTTAAAGTTCAAAGAAAAAAAGATTTTTCAAACTATGTAGAATCATTATTACAATAGAAAATATATTTTCATAAATGTTATATAATCTTAATTTTGAAAGCCATTTCGTCAACATCGATTACTATCTTGTATTCTTATCTGATAACAAAGAAATTAAAAAGTTTCTGTTATGAAATTAATTAATCATAATCTTCGATTATCTCTTTGAAACATCTAAAAGATAGATATTGAATCTGTAATGAATTTTTCCTGTAGACATCCAGTATTCAAGCAAAGTAATATTTTTGAATTTATATTGAAAATTGAGGTCCTCGAAAAAAGACTTCACTCAAACTTTAATAACTTAGTAACAAAAATCCAACAGCTCAACTTACTCTCGAGTTTTTACTTACTCACGAGATTCTATCGATTAAACATAGTTCTAACGTAAAAGCTATTCATCATTTGGAAAATTTCTTTTCTCTCTTAACTAATATAAAAGCAACGAATGCCATTGATCTGTTTTCTTGATAATAAGAAAAAAAAACAAAATGCATATTATATATTCTTACCAACATTCTTGTATTATCTTCTGAATGTGGTAATGCTGAAAATGAAGTACTTGCAACAATTGGTGGAAAATTTAATAGAATTTGTGAATTTCTTGCTTGATTTTGACTAACTTTATTAAGATTATTTTCAACAGATTTTGATGGTTGTGTACGTGTTGTAAAATTCTTATCATTTTTTTGATATTGATCAATACTTTGATATTCTGATACATTATGAAAACTTTTTGATAATCTTGCTTGTCTTTTAAATGATTGATCATCATAATTATTTGAATTTTGTTGTCGTACATGAATTATTCCATCATCATCCATCATATTTTCATCTGATGGTGAATATGATGATGAAACAAATGTACGTAAATCTTTAGTTGATATTGATAATGGTGAATGAATTTGTGTATCATGTAAAGAATTTCGACTTAAAGAATTTTGTATTTGTTTAACTAATGCATTTGTATCAGCTATAATTGAACGAGGTTTTTCATTTGTATCAACCGATGCTATAGCACGTATAGGTAATGATGAAAAAGAATTTTTTATTGGTGTAGATTGATTATTATTTGTTATATGTCCATTTGTATTTATTGATTGTAATGGTAATGTTTGAGATTTAACCATGTTTGTTGTTGCTGTCGTTATTGTTGATGATGGTGATGGTTTATGAGTAATATTTGTATTTGATATAGTTGAAGCACGTGATGTTGTATCATCATTATTTATTTTACCAACAAAATGTCTTGCTGATGGAAGACGATGTGTTATAGCAGGACCAATAAAATAATCTGTACTATTAAGCATTGTATTAACAGTATTAACATCGAATTTTTTACGTATAGTAGATTTTTCTAATTCATATGTTCGATTTATTTTTGATGTTGATAAATTAATTTGTTCATTTTGTGTTGTTGAAGATAATGGTTGTTGATTATCAAGTAAATGTATTGGTTTTAATGTACGTGCTGGTATTGGTGGTGGAACGGATTGAATTGGTTTTGAATTATGATGAGATTTACTTATTGATGATACTGAATCTGATTCAGTTGTACTTATATTTGATGAATGTTCAACTATTTCAATATCATCATAATATATAATCATATCACCTGATATTTCACCTATATGTCCATCATCAATATCATCATTTCGTTCAATAACCATTTGTGTAACTATATCTAGTGGTGGAATACTTGAACGAGCTGTTTCATATGATTGAATTGTAGTTTGAGAACCTGATGCACTTTTAGTTGTTAGTATAGTTTGTTCTTGCTACGAAAAAAAATAAATAAATAAGAAATTTATTTGCAAATTTACTTTAAAAAATCTCGATCATAAATAATTAGATTGTTACTATTTTTAAAATTTCTTCTCAATTTTTTATTTGATTGAAATTTGTGTTCAAGATTTACATGAAGTTGTTTCAAAGAAAAAGAAAATAATTTGAAAAAAAAACTGAATATGTTAGACATAAAATAAGAGTCTAGTTTATAAGAAACAAGTGTCAAGAAGAAAATTTCTTGTTGAAACAAGACGCAGAGTGTTTTTATCGCGTGAACACGTTCCAAGGTTCAAGAAAACGAGGGCAATAGTGTGGAAAAAACTTGGCCGCTTACTAATGAAAAGGTAACGGCTCATAAAACCGTATGAAGGATTACGATGAAAATTAATGCAGTAATACGCCGTTTCCGATCACTAGAATAATCATTCTCGATAGCCGATTTCTCCTCATACAAGGGCAAAAAATCAATACTGATTGATCTATACTAAGAGAGTGAACTGATTTTTTAAAATAAAAAATCATCATAATATTATTAAGATTTACAGACGTTTTTCTATGAGAAAAATACCTCAGCTGATTAATTTCGTTTGAATCAAGACTATATTCATCATGCAGACCCTAATGAGATATTAATATCCTGAAAAGAATTCGCGCCCTTAGTTTATTACTACCTTATGGTATTTTTTTTTATGCAATGTCGTTGTTCACTTCAGAAATTCTAGAAAAAAAAATGATTTTCAAATTTTGATTCGAAACTTTGTATAGAGATAGACTTTTGCAAGAGTAGTTCATTAGGAAAGTTTGAGCTCTTGCTATCGCTTCTATTCTGAAATGAAAGTGTCAAATCTACAGAATGTATTAATAATGTAAAAAATATGCTTTTACTATAGTTGTATCTTAAAATAGAAGAAACAAAACGATTCGAAAATTATTTTTTCTAATGTTCCCTAAGGCAGATTATGGCGTTATAGAAAAAAGTGCACCGTCTCAACGACAATATATTACTTTTAGGATATTCATATATCATTACGGCCTATATGATACACGTAGTCTGAACTAAAAAATGAAAATGCCTTCATTCTTCGAATGCTAGAACTGATGAGCAGGGACAAAAGCAAAATTCACCCTGACCCAGTCATTTTCAGAGCAGACGACTTGTCACCAGACCACCCGTCCTCCGGGACCTGTCCCAATCTTATTCATCTTGCAACAACATTGTCTGCTTATCTTTATTTAACTTTCTGTCAAAGAAAAATAAATGATGTTTCTGTCCTATATTTATATATGAAACTAAATAATTGAACGATTGACGAGGAGAAACTTCTCCGTTCTTCTTCATAATCAAGAGACCCTGGTATTACTTTAAAACTATGTAAAATATTATATTTATTAGACAAAATACAACATTTTCAGAAGAATTTTAAGTGCTAGACTGATGAAAAAAAGATGTTCCAATCAAGGACACAATAAAGGAAACATTTAGAAAATACTAATAATGCACTTATGGCCTCGCGAGTTATTAGAAGATTAAGCAATCATTTATTCTGAAGAAATAACGTTTCTGTTTAATGAAATAAAAACAAAATGACATTTTTTTGGTAAATGGCTTTATTGGTTATGATCAATTTCGAGAAACAAAAGTAAAATCTGATTTTATTTGTTATGCAAAAAAAATTCTTGAGAAACCTCAAAATTCATAGAAATCATTTATTAAACTATTTCTATGTTAAATCTTTTAAAATAGACATACTCGTTGAAGTGTTTGTGTTTCTTGTGATGTTTTCTTTGTTTTTGTTTGATTATTTAATGAATGTAATGGTGAATTTTCAGTACTTGTATGTGAACTATTATATCTTGCTTGACGTTTTAATTTCTCATCTTGATAATCATCATCTTCAATATCATTTAATGTATCATCCATTTCTTCTGAAGTAGCTTGTTCATTATCGGATGAATTTGAAAGATTTGGTTTTTTTCTATTCAATGGATTTGAACGTGAATATAATTTATCTGATGTTGATGAATTATTACTAATTTGTGCATCATCAAGATTTGTTATTTGTTTATTAGAAAGTTTTTTCTCAGAATCCGATGGTGCTTTATTTTGATAAAAACGTTGTATAGCTTCAATAGCTGGATATTGATCATCTTGTTTTGATAATGTTTTTGAACTATTTGATAATGATATTGATTCATTATCATTATCATTATCATTATTATTATTATTATCATCGGATATATCTTCATAACATGTACTTGATTCACTTGTTGTTGATTCACCATGATGATCAAAAACACGTTCAATTGTACCACGAATAAATTTTAAATCATCATTTATTGTCGTTGTTTTATCATTATCTGTTGATGTACTAACATTTTCTAGACTCATACTTTGTGCTTGATCTTTGTCTATGAATGTTGTACGGGGTGGTGGTGCTGGTGGTGTTGATGATGGCGGAAGGATAGGTACTCGTCCTCGACTTGTTTTTGGACGTACAAGTGGTACTTCAAATTGTGGTGGAGGAGGAGGAGGAGAAGAAGAAGGAGGAGATGATGTTGAAATAGTTTCTGGAAGAGTAGATGGTACTTCATATTGTGGAAATGTAATTTTACTTGGATGTGTTACTGATGATGAAGCAATTAATTGAGGTACAATTGATGTTGATTCAGTTTGAGTAATCTAAATTAAAATAATTAATTTTAAAAATTAATTTTACAAAAATAATTTTCTACTGATGTGTTTGTTTGTTCTTTTGGTTGAATTATTGTTTGATGTTGATCAGTTTTATTTATAGATGATGATAATGGTGGTTGATATTCAGAATTTGATATTAATGTATTAGTTTCAATATAGGGATTTACACGTCGATATGTATTTAATGGTACAGTTCCATAGGATAACGGACTGTGATGATGTAAATGATAATGTGACTCACAAGTTGTTGCTGATGTTCGATGTAATGGACTAACAGGTGCACTACCAAGTAAATACAGTGTATGGTTAGGATGTAATGTTACTGTGGTTGTTTTGTTATCATAATAAGAACCAACAGAATAATTACGATGTCGAATTTTTGATGTATATGATGGTGGACTTGATGATAAAGATAAATTTGGATATTGATAATTTGATGATTCCCATTTGTAAGTATTTGTATTATTAGATGTATCAACATGAAGTGATGAAGATTTTTCTGTTGTTGTTGTTGTTGTATAAACTGGTGGTAAAATATAAATTGGTAATGTTCTATGTTCGGTTGTTGTTTGTTGTTTTGATGAAGAATTATTTTCATTAGATTGTAATGTTGTTTGATTCATTGTTGATTGATTAACATCAGTTTTGATTGATTCTTCAGTTGATATTAAAAAACCCAAATTCGGATCCATTTTGTTCGAATTCTAAACGAGATCAAATGATGGTATAAACAGACGTCAATAAAAAAAAAACATCTGGCTGATATATGATTAACGCCTTAATATTTTCAAGACAGATAAGAAAAGAAAAAAAAAATGCACTACATACGTTATCATCAGCTATGATCATTGATGATGTATGTTGACTGTTATCTGAAAAACTATTTTCATGTTCAACTTCATATAAAATATCTTCCTGAATAGGACGACGAAAATTTGTATTTAATAAATAAGTTGATGAATCTTTTAAATGATTTTGTTCATCATCATCAGCATCATAATCATCAATTAATATATCATCTAAATTTGTAATCATTATTGATGAATTATTATTATTATTATTATTATTATTATTATTATTATTGGGTTTAAAACCAAATGGATCAACTGTTGATGTACAATGAAAATCATCGAATAATGGTGAATCATCATCATCATCATCGATTTTATTTTCTTTTGTATATATACGTTTTGACATTTGTTTTGAATGAATCATTTGTTCGAATTCTTGTTCATGTTTATCATCACTTATTGAACTTGATGGTTCATCATCTGTTGTATTACGTGGTGAAAATAAAAAGAATTCATCACCAACACCATTTAAATCAACTTCATGTAAAACTTCATCATTTTCTATTTCACGTAATTCAATTGATGGTGATTGAAATGATGTTTCATGAATACATGTTTCAATTGAACCATCATCGTACCAGTTCATATTATCAATAGGTCGAGATTCGTTTGATGGTGAATTGTCATTAAATAGCAATGGCAATGGATTGGAAATATTAGTAGAAATATGTGACGATGGTAAATTCTCCATGCCAACGTTAACTGGAGGGATGATGGTAGGTTTTTGTTCTTCTTTTGAAATGGCGACGATGTCGAGGTCTGCTAGAATAGAAAAAAAAGGAAGAAGAAATGAATGAAGATAAGAAAAAAAGTCGTGCGCATTTATGTCTCCGCATGCGGCAGAATCTGCCGTTCTTTCTCCTTTTTTTTTGTTTCTGCATCTTGGTGACTCTGAACATTCACCCTATTATGATAAACATATTTCCCTTACATCAGGTAATAAAGATAAGAAATGGCATGCGCATGTATATGTTTCTGTCTGTATACATATATAGACATTTAATCACCGGAAAATGAATTACATTTAGTAATATTAGTGATCGTTATGTATCCAATATGTTCTATGATAAAAATCATTGACATGCATTTAATCTTTCGGATCATTAACGGTAAAAGAAAAAAGAATCCTAAAAGTTTAAATATATACCTCAATACTCTATGACGTCAATCATACATCTAAAAAAACGAAAATTTGTAACTGCTTCTACTACAAAAATGTCTGTAATATTGACAAAATGCATAGACAAAAAAAAATGAATGCTACCGTTTTATTTGTATATGGATGAAGGAAAAAAAATTGACAAAAATATTTTTTCAGTCTTTAATGCTGCAACTATTGAAAGCTTTACTGTAGAACGTAATTTTTCTTTTTTTTTCTCTCTCTCTCTCTCTTTTCTCTTATAACTTACTATTTGACTTACGTTCTTCATCCATTGAAAGCTGTGCTTATTTATATATGTAGAAGAAATATTATTTTCAATTCAATCGCCACAGTATGCTTCGTATTCTTCTTTTTTTTTTTTTACTCTATAAGTCACGATCTTATTCCATAGATAAATAAACAACAAAATAACATTGAAAGTTTATTTTGTAGCATCCAACAAAAATTAATAAAAATTTTCTCTTAGATTTATTCAAAATAGTAACTCTATCAAAATAGAAAGAAAACAAAACTTCTTCTTTTTGTGAATATTCTAAAGAAAATGTTTCTTTTATCGAAAAGGTAACAGTCTGTTTTCTTTCTTTTGACTCTACATTAAGACAAGTGCTTATTTTTTTAAGTATTACGATTATGAATAAAGGCATATATATATATATATACATAATCGTCCAATTAATAGTAGAAATGATTTACCTTCAACATTAAGTTCCAATGTTTCAGCGTGACTTAAATCTGATATTGAACTATGTGAAGATAATATTTCATTATCTAATTTAGGTGTTGGTGTTTCGTATCCTGTTACGGATGATGATGAATTGTCATCAGTGTTAGCTGTATGGTATGATGATGCTGTTGGCGATAACCATTGTTCATTTATACTGGCATAAGAAGATGAATCTGTAGCTAAAAGATTTTTATCTGATGATGGTAAAGCCATTGAATGATATGATTCACCATCGGATGAAACACTTTTTGTTGATTCCGTTCGAGAAATATTTGTCGTCAGGAATTGATTTATGTTATTGTTTGTATTGATAATAATATGAGGATTATTAGATAAAATATGAGTCTGCGTTAGTGATACAGTGTCATTAGTCTCTGACGATGCAGCTGAAAATAGAAAGATAATATTTTTATATTTGTCTTATTAGATATGTGGATTTTTATTTTATAATTTTTTTTTTTGTTGTCTTTTCATTCTCATTCCATTACCATTGCAATATACTTCTTCATGGGCACAGATAAAATAGGTTGACATGAGGAGAGAAAAATTTTGCAAATATATTTTGTCATAAAATGTAATTGATTAACAAATATCAAGAGTAGGTAATAATCTTTTTTTTATTTTATAACTCAACGAATAATTTACATCATAAATTCCTAAAAATCTTACGTTTTTGAATAATTGTTATGTCAGCATCAGATGAAACATCAAGTAAAACATTCTGAAAAGAAGATTCATCGTCGATTTCTTCGATCGGTATTGGTACTTCAGACATTGTTCGTGGCTTTATGGGATGTCGAATATTTTCATTAGAAATAAGATCTGGAATAATAACCTTTGACGTTGATGATACAAAAGAAGATTTAGTTGAATTTATGCGTTCTTGATCTAAGAAAAAGAGACACGAGAAGTTAAAAGACAAGAAAGTCATTTTCATAGTATTACTAGCATCGCTTATTTCCCGAGCAACACACACACACAGAGACACATGCAATCAAAAGGAAAAAAAATCTTGAAAATGAATTCCCATGAGTATAGACATACATTTTATTTGACCAAAATAAAGATATGAATCGATTGATCGTGATGTATATAGACGCTCGAATCGAAGGTCGTCAATATATTATATACACATGTATATGCAAACCTTAGAAATAAAATAATCGAGCTCTCTTTATTTTTCTTATAACAACTGGTAATAGAATCAAATGAAAACACGAAAATGTGAAGCACAACCGAAAAAAAAATATCAATGTATTAACGATGAATAGAAAAACTTTTTCGTCTGCTTTACTCTCAATGATATTTACTTTTAGCTTGATGATCAATGAACAAATATATTATGATGAGAATAGAAACGAGAGAGAGAGAAGGAGACACTATCGACAGGTGGACGAATGTAAGTATGTACAAGCTTGGCACTCAAACGATAGAGAGAGAGAGAGAGAATATAAAAGGTGATCGTCAAACAAATGGTAAGACTTCTTTTTTTCTTTTTCTCTGGCACTTGTTCATCCCATTTCACATCTCTATTCTTTAACAATAACGAAGAATAGTAGCTGGTCGATTGAGTAGAAGAAAAGAAGAAAAAAAGAAAATCTTTGACTCGTCCTGTGCTCTTGTTTTTCTCTCTGGTGTATGTTGATGTTAGACCATATAAACCTGCATTGACATTTCTCTCTTTTTTTTTACTACTTATTCTATTCCGTTCTGTTATTTATGAGCACACACTTCTTTTTTTTTTTTTTTTTTTTTTGTTGAAATATATACATATACATAAAACTTGTCGTCTATGTACTGTATTTAGACTATCGTTCTTTTGCCTGTAAGCGAGAAAATACGATGACGCGACAAGCCTAGAAGTAATAGGTAGTGACTAGAATAACATGCGAATACAATAGAGTCGGCATTGGATCTAACAAACACTTTTATTTTCTTTCGAATAACGACTAATATATATTCTGTTTGATGACGATCAGATTAACATTAGGTCTCTTTTAAGCTATTGCTTTCTTTGTTTTGTGTGTGTGTGTGTGTTCTTTCTATATGAAAAATAGACTCGGCAATATTTTGATTTCAATCATTACATATTTATTTTTTCTCAATCAATCATTTAATACTGGCCATGCCATTTAACAATACATTCAACATTAATACATTTGCCTTGAATAGTTATATACAAAACATGTATTTCTTCTAATGAAATATCCTTCATCAACAAATACATATGCCTAGAAAAAAGGCATTAAATTATCATCTACTATTAGAGTAGACATAGTAAGAAGAATACAACAAATTAAGAATATATCAGGCACAAAAGACGAAGGAAAAGATATTAGTGAGTGAGTACATATGTCCTGTCAACATTATTGTGAGATATACGCATGAGATATGACATATAGACGGAAAAAAGACAAGCAGAAAAAGAAGAAAAGAAAAGAAAAGAAGCTTTCTATCACGTTTGTCTTTTCATCTATGAACTAACGGATGAGATCGAAACGTGATGTGTCTGTCGAAATCAATTTCATTATTTGAATCATATACAATTATGAGTAAATATAAGTTCATCATAATGATTGATCAAATGAATAAAATTCAAAAACATATACTTTTATGTCTCACAAAAAGAGATAAAATCTTTACATTTAATATAAAGCATTTAACATTAATGAAATTGATTTCAGAATAAATCAAATCAATCTTTATTTTATATGATAAGGAAATTAAAATTTTACTTTCAATTCATTATTTATGATATTTTCAGCTCTTCGTATTCAATTCATTTACTTGTTGTCACGTATTATTTATTATTCTTTGATAAATTCTATTTCATTAATTTCTCTATAAATTACGAAGATTAATATTTCATTAGAATGTTCAAAATGAATACTATTAATTCATTTTTCTCAATATATTTACGAATAAAATAAAATCCAACCAGTCAACAACATACTTAAAATAAATCTAAATCTAATCTTAAATTCAATATCAATTAAAAAATAAAATTATTCTATATTTTCACATAAGAAAGTTTATCTTATCAATATATTTTCTTTTTTTTTTTTAGTCTATAATAAATAGACAAAAGCTAAAAACAAAACATACTGGTGTAAATATCATATCAATGTAAAATATATCTAATCTATTTGATGGTTATATAATTCGAACACATAATGCTGTCAAAATAGAAAGCTAACACCTTTAAAAAGAAAATAATTTACATTTAAGATTTTTATCTTGTTGTTTGACATTCACACTAAGACTCTAATCATATTTCACTTACTTATTTTAGAATATCTTGGTAAAGGTTTTGGTGGTTCAATTGCATGACCATTGATATGATTACCATTTGTCGTAAAAACTGTTGGTTTATACCATGATGATGATTGAATAACACGCTGTAATCCTGGCGCATATGTTGATGTTTCATGGGAATTAGTCGAACGTCGTCCATTAATACTTATATTTCCATTTGTATCATTGGTTAATGTCGTTGAATTACATCTCAATGGTAATCGTTCTGACCGAGATTGACTTGGTGATCGATGTCGATATGTAACATTTGATAGATGTGATGAATTATTGGAAGATGATGTTGATAGATTAAGAGTCTTATCATCATATTGTTTTGTATGCAGTACTTGTCCATATGATTTTGTTTTTCGTAGTTTATTAATAGATGTATAGTCATGATTGTACCAATCAGGTATAAGTAATTTATTGAATGAAGCACGTAAACGTTCTTCATATGTTAATGTTTGTTGATGATTTTTAAATTTATATACTTCATCAATAGCATCAAAAACGCTTTGTAAATAGAGTTTTTCTTCTATATGAGTCATTTTTTTTTTACAGTTGTTGTTGTTGTTAATCAAATAAGCTCATTGAACATAAATGATGATAGTAGCCTTTAAGAAAACAGACAGAATGAAACAAAAACTAAAGAGAAGATGTGAATGCATCAATGAATGAAATGAACCACTGTAACGCACATTTGTTATTTTCGTTAATATGAATAAATGAATGAATGAATGAATGAATGAATGAATAGACGTGTGTGGGTGCAGCCAGCAAGAACATTCATATCATTGTGTCGTTTGAAAGCATATATTTATGCGGAAGTTTTTCTTCTTCCTTTTTTTGAATACGAAAGTGAATATCTATATATATATATATAAATGACGGACAGAAGGTTGATGTGTTCAATTATAGAAGAACATGAAGGGTGGCAAAAAAGAAAAAGACAATCGCCAATATTAAAAAGAAAGATTGGTTGTGCTTATTTTAACCAGTCATCTTGTCAGGTTATTCACATAATCACCTATTTGTCTCGTTAAACTATATATATATATTGGATGGATGAAAAAAAAATCAAGAAGAAGACATACTCGTTCGCACTTATGTTAGACAGTCATCGGATCTATAATCCTACCAAACAGTAAATGTGTAAAAAAAACAAAAAAAGTGCAAAACAAAATTAAGAAAGGGGAAGACATAGAGAAAGCGAAAAGAAATCGATCACTTCATTGCGTTCGTCACCAATGAAGACAGTAGAGAAGAAGAAAAAAAAATGAAAAGATGATGAATAAAAGTAATATAGTTGAGAATAGAAAAGAAGTACTACTTCGAGCAATAATTATATCATGATATCTATGAACTATCATGAAACAGCAAACCGACACAAGACTATTATTAACCTGTCAAATCCGGAAATAGATAGACGTGATTGCTCATTTGACAAAGAAAATGCATACAAAGAATGACAGAGAAACAAGACTGTCTGTTTCCTTTGTCCTTGTATAACATGATAATCCATTGGTGATCATGCAAAAAAACCGATTTTTTTATTTATCAAAAGTGCATCAAATAATTTATGATTTCATTTGACATATTTGCCTTCATTCAATACGATCGATCCATGGGAAAAAATAATATTCATATAAATATAAATATATGTATATATATATATATATAGTGAAGTAACTCGATTACATCAAAATACAACATTCATTATTTGTCCTTCTCATCTTCATTAAGTTCAATGATATCTGTATGTAATCGTTGACTATCAGAACAATCTGTAATCATAACTGTAGGCAATGTGATGCTAGTTAATTTTGTACTACATTCAGAAAGTCGATCATCAGTAGTACTCATAGTTGCCGAGCAATTTTCTTGTTCTTTAAGACGAGTATATTGTCTACCACCATATATTTTTCGTTTGTTTGTACAATTAAGAGCATAACAGTTTGCTATTGGACGTGTATCAGTATCACTTGGTGCTTCTTCATAAGATTGATCTTTAATAATTGATGTTGTAACGATGTCGTCATTATTACTTTTTAAATCAATTTGTAATGGATTATAAGTTTTTAAATAATATTCTAATAAACTAGGATTAGTTGTATTTGTTTGTGAATTAATATTAAGAGCTTTCTGAGATATTGTTTGTTCGTTATTTACCATAAAATCACAATGTGAAAAAAGACTATCAGAACGATAAAGTAATGGCGGTGGTAAATGCGTTGGACGAAATGAGCCATATTGATTCGATGAGATAACAAATGCTCGACAAATCTTTTCATTTGATACTGATGGAGAATCATATTGTAAACGAAAACGTTTTAAATTTGTTACAAATCGTATAATAATACGACTTAACATATAGATTATGATAAATATTATCCAAAAAAGAGCAATCTATACAAGAAGAAAAAAAAAACAGCACAATAAAATTCAATTAAATAAATTTACATATTGAAAATTAGAAACGAATGAATGATCAATTAGTTCTCATTTTTGAACGAAAAACAAACAGCGAAGAACTCAAAAATTTTATATTTAGATTTGCTTCAAAAAATATCCCAAAAAGTTAGAACGAAAAAAAAGATCTTAAATATATGAATCATTAAGTATGTTAGAATAAAAGACAGAAAAAGAATTTGAAAACCAAAAATAGATACTGACGTTTTTTCTTGCCTATGAATATAATTATATCTGATTGCTAAAAAAAAATCTATTCAGTCTTATTATCGTTATGAATAAATCCTCTTTTGGACGATTAAGAAAAACAAAAGTATAAACCATTTCAAGATTCATTAGTTTCAAAGATATTTATCCCGTATAGTTTTTGTCTTAAAATAGAAATGTTTACTTTAATTTTAGATGATTGATGTCTTTTTTTATTTTAATAAATTATGAAAATAATTGATTCTATATCGTTAATAAGCATAGATCGTCAAGGTTTGTTATTGAATAAAAAATTCGTTCAATATTTTCATCTCCCAAGGTAATTATTTATTTCGGCTTTCTGACACTTCTTAATATTTTATCTTCATATTTTCTTTTTTTTTCTTTTTGATTGATTAATCAAAAGAGGAAAAAAAAACTTACAAGTGAAAGTATAAAAAATGATCGTTGAACAATAGTAAATTGATTCATTATCCAAAGATTTTTGGATAACATTGTATCTGACGACATATGATTATTTGATGTCTTGAAAATTTTTTCATTGATATGTTGTTGTGACCAAGTAAGATTAAACATGGTTGACAACTCAGTATGAGACATTAGTTAATCGATATTATTTCTCTGTTAACAACATCTAGAAGTATATTAAATGAGATGCATGCATGCATCAAAGAAAAAAACAAACATATGACGGGAACTTACTATAAAAAAAAGAAAGAGACAAAGATAATATTTTAAGGAAGATTATTACATGAATATTAGTAGTTTTTTTTTCTTTCTCTTCAACTCTAAGATGAAAAGACTTTTTTTTATCTCTTTTATGTTTGCATTTTTATTATTAAGACAATATGATTGTGGACAACTGATTTATGTTCAGGAAATTATGTTTAATATAACAGAAGCATCGGTCAAGCATAAATAAAATGACATGCAATGTATTATATAAAGATAGTTAACACATATGGATTCATAAAGAAAAACCTCAGCTATCCCATATATGTCAATTGACATGTTCGTCCTTCATATTGTTTATATTCAATCATATTTAACACACTCCCTATTGGCATTCTTTACATTTATTGTTCACAGGCGCGCGCACAAACACACATTCGGACTCGTTCAACAGAAAGAGTAAAGAGAAAATACAAAAGTCTATAAGACAGCTTTTTTCTTTGTCATTGACTCAAGCAGATGTTTATATAGTTTCAGACAAGTAAAAATTAAACATGTAGAACAATATCTTATCTTACCTTTTGTTAAGATTGGTATTATTATTAAAAACTATTCTATTTAGAAGTTATTCTAGCAAAAATTGGTTCGATTATGGAAATGAGACTAATAGTAGTATACGTCCAACCGGAAATACCATCGTTTGCATTCTTTCTGTCTATCTTTAGCTCGTTCTTCAATTATTCGTTTGTTGATGTCTGTTGTTAACACTTGCCTTGTATGCATCTATCACTCATGAAAATCTTCTTTTTTCTTTTTCTTTCATGCTAATCATATTCGGTTATTTGAAGAGATCACTCAGATTTTCCTCTTCTTCTGTTCTTCTCTTTTTTCTCCTTATTCTTATATAACAATTACAAGCGATAAGTTCTATAAAAAAAAAATACAAATCACTTTTCTTCTTTTTTTTTTTTTTTCTTCTTTATACTTTTTCATAATCAACATTGAAATCTCGTTTTCGAATAATCTGCATAGAATATCGTAGTCCATCAAGAGCATATGACGTTATATTTATCCATATTACACGATTTGGTATCATATCTGAACCCGTAGCACCACGTGTATACTTTAAAAAAATCATTCCACCAATAATATAAACAAATAGAATGGAAACTAATAGAATAATAAAAATAGCACCACCACTTATAGATCTCGAGTCAGGTGAATAATGACATTTACCAGGACAACAGCAGCGAGATTGAACATAAATATTAAATGTATGAGCATCATCTTGACGACCATTTACTGTATCTTCATCAGCATCAACACATGTTAAATAAACAGTAAGAAGTCTATCAGGTGTATGATAAACAAGTAAATTGACATTTTTATTATGTTCGAATTGAGCCTCACTTTGTTTAGCAATGACAGTTGACACACCCGTACCTATATTAGCTATATATCATAAAATAAAAATATACTAGAGTGAAATAGAAAAAAAAACATATTAATTCAATTTACTAGAACATGCTGCAGCATCTATACAATTGCCACTATCAGATTTTGAATAAGAAAAACATCCATTCCAACTTAATGTAGATTTGACAGGATTTGGATTAGGTATATTATCATATTTTGGTCCTTTACCATTTGCATAACCTAACGTACGAATATCTAATTTTTGTCCATTACCAACATCATAAACACATGAAGATTCACTAGTGTTTGTTTGAATAATCAGCATAAATAAATAACAAATAGATAAATAAAACATAGGTACAAACATTTTAAAAATGAATGATAATACTAAAAAGAATGAGAGAAAAAAAAACGCACTTGTTTAATTTCTTGAAGATAACGATAAATGTAATTATGCAGAATACGAGCAACACACAAAAAACAAAAAAAAACATATCATGATCAATAAATTTTATTTAATAAATCATTCTTTTTTTTTAAACTTCTTCATATGTATTTCTTCCTGTAACTTTTGATAAAATAAATCTTACACCATATATTGAATCATGTCCTATTTGTAACCATAATGTTCGATTTGGTATAAGATTAATACCTTGTTCATGTTTTACAAATCGAAGAAAAAGGACACTGATGATAAGATAAGTTGTAATTATACAAACTAAAATTATTATAAAAACAGCTCCACCTGTTAAATGATCTGAAGATTTATCTGGAATATAAGTACATTTGTCCGGACAAGCACATTCACTTTCAATTTTAAATAGATATGAGTAATCATTAATTCGACTAGCTTGAACTGATTCTTGTGTTTTACAAACAAGAAAAACACGTAGTGTCGTAGCATCTCCATCTGTATAAATTACACTTATTACTCCACCATTGTATGTAAAGACACGATCCGTTTGACGAGCAATTAATCTTTCCTGTTTTGATGTTAAATCAGCTTAATTAAAATAATAAAATAACAAGAAAAAAAAAACACATCTTTACAATCGATATAAGAAGAAAAAAAAACCTTACTAACACATGCCGCAGCATTTTTACAAGTATCTTTTGTTGAATAAGAAAAACAACCATTAAAAGAATATGTAAGAGTCTTTAAATCTGAATCAGGTACATCATAATATTTGGGTCGATTTTTATAACCAAATGTTCTCAAATCTATTATACCATCGGGTGTTGAATATTGACAATCATCTGCTTTAATTGTATAGATACTTAAAATAATGCATATTAGAATGCTTGAGACAATCATAATTATATGAAAAAAATTCTAACCCTACACTATGCCTTTTATGAAAGATAAGCATGTAAAAACAAAACCTTGATGCGTCATCTTTTACATGAAGTTTGATAAACAATATATTTTCTTGTTGTCATAGTTGACGTCCATAGTCCATATAGAGATGATAAAATATAAAGACAAAATGATTCAATTAAATATTTTAGAAAATTCTAATTTAGTTAAATGTTGATTTTGTTTAGATATGAAAAATTTTCCTCATAACCAATTCATTCTAATTTTTCATTCTTATAATTTCATATTATCTTTGTTTGTTTAAACTACACTAAGCTAAATTTACAATTAATTGTTTGCATGTTTAGGTTGTCGATATAATTATTTCTATGCGTGTTCATCATTTTGTCTATGCAAAACTCTATTTATTTGTTTCTTTAATAATTGACAAGTACATTGTCTGTTCTATTTTTGCTCAATTATTTTCTGGTTGTTACACCAACGATTCACTAAGGGTTATCAAGTTTATATTACATTCTATAATGTTCAAAATAATTTACAAAAATAGAAAAAAACTAAAACTATCGTATGAAAAATAACACAAATGAAACTTTTAGATTTTCATGGATTAGTAATGTTTCAACAATTTAGTCTCTTCAATCGTTCGAACAAACTGCTAAATGTCTGTATCTCTTAACACAAAAAATATACTAAATATATGTATATATTTGATCACTGTCTTCTCTCCTGCATTTCTTCGTATCAAATCCATGACATAAGAATATTTGTTTACGTTTGTCTTTGTCGACGAAAGAACATAATTGTTTTTTTTTCGTTTCTAATGACTATGAACGAACAACAAAAACTAAAGAGAAGGAAGGAAACGATTACCAACTTTGAATCGGTCATATGTACACATATATACACATACACAAGACATAGGTGGGTGTATAATCAATGTTCACTGAAACATTGAATTCAACATAAAAAAGGGACAAAAATATGCAACTCAAAAACTCTATTGAAGAATCTGGTGATAATGATGACAATGAGGATGAAGAATTTCCACCATTACCATCAGATATTGATTTACCATCACATACAAATACTCCTGATCCATACGATAATAGACAGCGTACTGTTGAATTCTTTTATTGTCCTTCTCCACCATTACCTTCACCACCACCACCGCCGCCACCACCAACGTCATCAACAGCAATGGCACGAATATATGCTAATGCTCATACATTAGCTTCCATGCGAAATCCAAATAGTATAAATCAACCGACAATATCATTTGCTACACAACAGAAGAAGAAAGCTCGAGCACCGATTGCTGGTATTCTTCAAAGTGTTTATGTTAATATGCCTATATCACCATCCTTACCATCCAAACCTGTAAATATATCTAATGAAGTTACTTATGCTACATTAATGAATACAACATCCATGGCACTATCAAATTCTTCCGATCTAACAACAAATCATGTTGAATATCAACAAATTCATATTCAAAATGAAAAGGATAAAATAGATGATAATAGAATTTATGAAAATATTAAATCTCGTCGACCACCACCACCACCATATTATTCACAAGCAAAATTTTCACAACGAACTTTATCGTCAACTGTAAATCTTCTTGAAGTAAATAAATCATTATCAAATTCAAAAATACTCAATAATGATATTACACCATCTTCAACTGCACATATCTATATGAATTTAGAATATCATGATGATAAACCACCAATTATTCCAACACGTACAACGAAACAAGTTCCAATTACTGTTCAAATGTCACCACCATCACCACCAATTATACCACCAAGAAATGAACAAAAAGATGATATGCATAGTTCATCTACAAATGTTGTAACATTTTCTATGGAAAAAGAACAAGATGAAGGAGATACAAATGTTCTTGAAACAAGTTCCAATGCTAGTAGTGTTCAAGTAAATTCATTTGTTGTTAATTGCTAAAAATGAAAGCAAATATGATTTTATTTATTTCATATTTCTTTTTAGACAATCAAAGAACTTGAAGTAAATATGGCTCCGAGTTGTGATGATAAAAGTGATTTATATCGTACAAAAATGTCTATAAATACAACAGAAAATATTCCATCATTTATAAATGCACGTCAACGACGATTATTACATAGTACACGAAGACGTCGTTTACGTGGTTCTTTAGCTTTTCGTGGTTCAATTGCATTACGTAGTAATACACGAGCATCTATTAATCATAATACAAATCGACAACAACATCCACGTTCAAATTCGAATATAGCAGTTCGTCATCCAATGGTTACAGATGATCGTTGGCGACGTACATTACGTAAACGTCGACGACAACGTGCTGTACAAATGAAATTAGATGGAAATATTATGCATCAACAAATGAAATCAACAAGACCTATATCTGATCATACATATAATGAAATAAAACAACCGATTTTATCAAATAATAGAATACGTACTAATGGTCATAATGGATCAGCAGGTGGTGGTGTACTTGAACGTGCTATGCAATTTAATGGAGCATTAAGAGATCGAGTTTTTTCATGGTATAAAGGAGCAAATCATAGTAATCGTGATCAACAACAACAGCAGCAACAACAACAAGAACAAGAAATAACAGTACCAATCGGCTCAACTTCAGAAAATGGAGATTCAGATCAAAAAGTAAATTATTAGATTCAATTTTTTGATAGAAGTATCATAGAAACTTGTGGTTTTCATCGACCAAGACTTAAACTCGAGGTTATCGATATATATATCGAAATTTGACTAGTTAGCACCTGATCAATCAAGTGAGCTTTGTTGAATATTGTTTTCTTTGATTTACAGTTTTAATAATTGTTCTCTTACGATTCTACTCAAAACTAACATTTCTGACTTGTTGTGCTCGAAAGTTGTAAGACGTTACTCGATGATTTTCGATTTCGACCAATTGATCTGTGATCACTCAGAAAAACAGCTAGGCAGAGATGGTTCAACATGTAGAATCGAATGTTGATAGTTGTTTTTCGATTTGAAGTAATCTGATTCTGTAATTTCAAAATATCTGAAATTCTACTATCATCCTTCATGTAATGAAGGAGTCCACATTTCGGAAATATTGAGATAACAGAAATAGATTAGTTCGAATCTAAAAACAAATATCACCATTCTCATCAAAAGTTGTTCAAACAATAATGAAGTACAATATACTTTAAACTATATTGTAGTTTTTCTACATGAATATGTCCAATATGTCTCTTTTGTTTTCTTAATATTGTTCATTAATTATAATTGTTTAGGGTACAACAACAAATGAAGATGAAGAAGAAGAATTTTTTACTCATGATACGTTCGAAGATTTTCTCTTACGACGTCGTCCGAAATCATCTGCGTCGACTACAATTAGTGGTACTAGTACTATTGTTTCACAAGTTGAATCCATTTCTCAACGAATACCAGTTCGAAAACCACCAAATCAAAAAGTTCATGTTCCTCCTCCACCACCACCACCTCCACCTCCACCACCTTTACCACCGACTCCACCACCTGCTCGTCGTTTTCCTGGTTTAGCATTAAGTTTAGATAAAACTGATGTTGATTTTATTCATAATATTCTTCAACGTACACGTGGTGAACATCGTGTATGGAATCGTATAACAGCACTTAAAGAAGCTTATATACGAGCAACAAGTAAAAAAAAAGAATTACCAAAAAAACCTAAAGTTAGTTTAAATCAAATGGATGAAAAGAAAAAAAAGAAATCAACAACAATGAAACATTCATTAGCAGCAACAAAAATTCGTGCTGAACTTGAAAAATATGATGAATTACCAGCTAGTTCAGCAACAATTCTTGATGATGATGATTATTATGATGAAACATGTTCAGTAAATAATCATCATAAAATGAATCATAATATACATAATCGTTCCGTACCTGCATTACCTCAAACACCTTCAACAACAAATCGTATTTTAAATTTTGTTGTATCAATTAAAAGACGTGCTCAAAATAATGTTCAACAATTACAAAAAAATCTTCAAGATATTCGTTCACGAGTCAATATCGAAGCAATGGGTATTCCTCCAAATCAGATTAGTATAAAACGTCATACATCAATAGCATCAAGACAAAGACAAACAATAAAAGTAAATTCTATATATTCTATTTTAGAGTTGTGTACGAATTCAATTTTTCGAACCCCACTTCGACTTAAGAAATAACATTTGTTTGATTTTAATAAATGGATCGCTCAAGGATGTGATTCTAGCTTTTAGTATTCGTTTCGCCTAGATCTTCACCTATGAGAAAAATCCAAACACACCCACAGCTCGACTCGAGTTGCAGGACTCTAATCTAATTATCTAAAAAACAACAATATTTTTCGTGAAATACCATCTCAAAATAGCATTGAAATGTAGGAGTAGGAATTTGAATCTCCTCTCTTTCATAGACATAACATCAGAATTCGTATGACAGTTGTCCTTTACTGTTCATTGCAATGTTTTACGATTAATATCTTTCATTAGTGACATGCATTAACAGTAGGAAGGAATTTATTAATCAAAATGTATGTATATTGATTAATCCTTTCTTTTACAATTCATGTTTTATATGTTAATCCTCGTGTAATTGCGCTAATAAATTTAAATTCTAGGATTCATCAAATACACCTCGCATACATCTATCACGAGTAGAAACAACATTGAATCAAAATACTTTAGTTCGTCGTACAAATAGTCATCATTCAGGTACTTCAACAGAACGTTCTAATGCTGTTCATCGACGTCAATTAAATCGTACTCAATCTAATGTATCTCAGTTACCACAACAGTTACCAATTCATCATCACCATCGTCATCGTATAACAAATGACAAAACCGTTGGTGGTGTTGATGATCGATCACCTAATTTAACAACTCAACCTCCTCTACCATTTGAACGACATTCATCACGACAAACACAAAATGGAATGACTATTCGTCAACAACGTTCGAAAAACTCTAGTTGAA